AAACCCTCGGCTTTTCCTCCCGGCCGCCGCTCCGCCTGTCCCCACGCTCCACAACTCCTAGCACCACCGCCGATGCCACGGCCGCCGCGGCTCCTATATATACACACACGCGCCCCTACCATTTTACCAGAAGAAGGAAGGAAATTAACAAAAGAAAAGAGAAATGACGTCAATATCAGCTTTTCTGCTGACAAATATTATTACCACCATCTTGTTAATTATGACCGCCACTACGACGACGTTTCCATGAGAGAGAGGATGCTGATGTCATGCTGATGTGGACGGGTTACTCATGATTACTCACCATAAGGTTACTCACCTGATCCATTCCCCCTTATGGTGAGTAACCATGAGTAACCCGTCCACATCAGCATGACATCAGCATCCTCTCTCTCATGAAAAGCCTTTAATTTTTCCTTCTTTAATCTTTGACGGACGATTTCTCGCTCATTTTAAGTCGAAATTTAATTTTTTTTGCACAGTTAGATCAGATTAATTGTGCTCTTCAAAATGATATCCACTTTAATATATTTTTCGAACAAAAAAAATTGAGCCATTTTTTACCAGCCTATACCATATGGTATTGACTGGTATTGAAATAAAAGCATACCTATGTTTTGAAAAACGTACCATGGTGGTATGAACAAACCAATACTGTAGGATGGTTGAATACATGATAGTAGAAGTATATTAATTGTAATTTACGACTTTTAACATTGTATACCACACAATACCACCCCGTACCAGGGTGGTATTGTATGGTATTGTGTGGTATTTTTTGGTCCTGTAATTTGTTCACCCAGAAATTTGTAGATCTAATAGATCATGATGAACTCGTCCCTTCTGTACCAACATTTTCAAAAACGAATTAAAAATGAAGAAGATACCATACAATACCACCCCGTACCAGGGTGGTATTGTATGGTATTGTGTGGTATTTTTTGGTCCTGTAATTTGTTCACCCAAAAATTTGTAGATCCAGTAGATCATGATGAACTCATCCCTGCTATGCAAACGTTTTCAAAAACGAATTAAAAACGAAGAAGATACCATATGGTATGCAGTTGGTACCGAAAGGCCAGAATTTTTTTTCCTAAAAAAATATTGAAAATTGATCTCATTTTGTAGAGCACGGTGAACTCGTTCCATCTGTGCAAAAAAAAAATTAAAATCCGAGTTAAAACGAAAAAGATATGAGTCAATTAAGAAAGCTAGTGAAAATAAAAAATAGCCTTTAATTCTCCATCCTTAGATCCGGATTTTCTAAATGAAGGGTCCAGATTTGGTTATTGATGGGTGCATAACCATGCACCCATCATGGTTATGCACCCTATCTTGAGCCGGTCACCACTACACAACTTACCATTCTTATTTTTTTTTTTTCTTTCCATTTCAAATTTAGTTGTTTTCCATATTTTATTCTTTTTTTTAATCTACACATAATATAATACACCGAAGGGAAAAACGGGAGCCCCATTTCAAATTTCCTGCAACGAGAGTGAAAGTAGAAAGAACATTTTAGTCTTCACAATTACTTTTTTTTATTCACTAAAAAGACACGTACTGGGATTCGAACCATGACCATTTTAAAGAAAAACAATGATCATAACCAATCACACTAAGTACATTTGTTGTATCTTTTTAAATTAAAAATATATAATAGCAGGGAGGAAAAAACCCTTCCCCCATTTCAAATTCTCTGCTCCATGAGCGTTTGTAGGAAGGGCATAATAGGGAGTGTCAATTTTTTTGTCTTTCCTCTGTGGAACAGGCCAACTTACCGTACACATGCGGATTTAAATGGGTCCAGGAGTGTCAATTTTTTTCTTTAAGCCCTTTTATTTCTCCCTGGTGATAAAATATATATGAAAAGGCAAAAACAATACTCCTTGTTATTGCTAAAAATAAAAAATTTAACAATAAACTAATGCATGGTATCTAATGGGCTAACCGCTAACCATAAAATAAAAGAGTTAAATGGGTCTGACCTACACGGGATTTTACCATCAAGTAAAACAAATGAACATTATTGGTTTGTCATTCTAAAACAAGCTATTTTCTGTGGCATAATATATATTATGCTATTATTTTATATCTTAGTGGCTAAAATAAAATGTATTTTAAAGTTATTCAATGGTTCAACCTCGACCAACCCAATTAGTCCAATTTTTATCATTTCAAATATATATTATATAATTATTTGATATCATAATGATCAAATTATAGTGTATTTTATAGGGAATCGTTTGGTATTTGTTAGTAAAAAACTAAACAGAACGATCTATTTGGTTATTTTAAACATTGAAACGATCCTAAACATTTTCAGTTCCTTTTGAATTTTTATGGTTTTATTCTCGAATAAGTGATGTGCAAATGGCGAATTGCAGCCATCTCTTTTCTTTCACTATTTTTTATTTTCAAATAGAAAGTTTAAAAGTAAAGAATAATTAGAATTTGGCATGGGTCGGTCAAACATGCTGAATTTCAAGTTTTGGCCCGTTTTGATCAAGTCTAATTTATAATCACATGGTTCCCTGATACCCGATAAAAATCTCAATCCAAACCAGTTTGGCAGGTGAGTCTGTGTTTACCATCATTTTCTAGGGATACGACAACGGCGGTTCCTATCCCAAATCGTGTTGTTCGTTCTTGATTTCCTTAGATTTTATCATGGCCTAACAAAAACCAGAAAGCACAATGGCGACAAGATGAAAGTTTTATAAAGCAAATTAATCGACCAATGGGATGAGTAAACGCTAGCAACGATTGTGAGATGCTCATTTCCGAAAACCGACGGGATAGGCGATTTTTTATTCGATTTTCTGGAATTCGGTTTCTATAAAACTTACTCCACCTCATCATATTACCAGAAACAATATTGTTTCACAAGGTAACATGTACTTGATTTTGGTTCATAAGACCGATTTTTTATTCATTGCATCATTCATGTCTCTTTCCTGCTAAAATTCACTATTTTTATCACGAATTTCCCAAAAGTAAAGAATAATTAGAATTTGGCATGGTCGGTCAAACAGGCTGAATTTCAAGTTTTGGCCCGTTTGTTTTATTCATTGCAAATTTATTAGCATGTTGATAAAAATGGCTTGGAAAGAAGACATATAAGTTGTACCTTTGCAGAAATGTCCTCAAATGTTTGAATGCTTTGTGAATCAGGTTCCGTGACCTTTGTGATGGTGTATGTGCTTGATGATTGCTCGATGTTGTAACTACTTAATTTGAGAGTAAATCTTTTGATTTTCTCTATGAGTTGTGATACCAGTTCTGGTGGTTGCAGCATGTTGTCGTTGTTGGCCTATAAAAGTTGTTCCGCCGTGATGCTAAATACCTTTCTTTCGTTTTTAACAAATTGTGTAGTAGTGCTATGAAATAGACCACCCATGAACGCTACGTTTATTATGGTATGTTCTTACTTCCGGTGGTGAGAAATTGTGAATTGAGAATCATATTCGCCTACTGCACTGTGTCTGGCTGGTGGCTGCTTACTGTGCTCTCTAGAGTTATGAAACAGACTACCCATGAACGTTACCCTTAAGAGTCCATAACTTAACGAAAAAACCAAATTTAGGCAATCAAAGGTGGTGGATGTGAGATTATTTTTTTTTACTTAATTGTTTGTGAATTGGATATCTGATCTTTGTATGATTAGAGGGGATGTTTGCTTAATAGAATAATCCATTTTAATTCATGTTTATTTTTAACATGAACTTTAGTAACTCAAAACCTTCGAGACACATATCACCTACTGCATTGTATCATTTTGCCTGGGTGCTTGCTGTGTTGTCAAACTTCTTTGCTGCTGCTGCATTTACACTAACAGGGGAGTTAAGAACCCATGAATATTTCCGTTTGACACAAACAAGAGAACTTACTAACAACTATTTTAAAATTGTCACCGAATACATTTAATTTGTTAAGGATTTTCGATAGCATTATTAACGGTTTGCCATCAATTAAAAAATTTAAGCAAAACCTTTGTTAATATATTTATTTATTTATTTTTGAATGGAAAACATTCGTGTTTTTGACGAAATTGATGGTATTTGACATTTGATATTGAATCGACTAATTAGTCATGATTACAGGTTGGCTGTCAACAAATTTCAATTTCGTTATCAATGATTTGTTATTGCATTTATTAAAGTCTTGTTGAACCTCTACCAACTTATGAGCATTTTTTTTTTAACAAAAGATAATCATATAGTGCTGTACAAAAATTTAGCGAAGTATCGGTAACAATATACTAAACCATTGTTAATAATTCATAAATAATAAATCATAGAATATTTCTAACAACAACATAACCTTAGAACTCCATTCGCGGCTTTCGAGCTATATTGCAATAATGTTACTAAGCAGGTGAGCTAAGCTCATTCATACACCTAAACTGTAAATCAGAAATCGCTTTGAAACACGGTAAAGGATCAAACATGGATCATCATCTATTCTCATACAGAAACGGAAAAGGAAGCTCATTTATACAGCAAGAAGAGCAGCAGCCAGCGCTAGAGTAATTGCAGAGCTCAATGATACATAATACCAACCCTTGAAGAAACTGTCACCATACTGCACGTAGAAAACAAAGAAGAAAAGGAACAGAAGCTTTCCATTAATGGGGAGAATGTAATCTGTTAATGGATGAAACTTGTGTTTTGTTCTCGTGGACAAGACTTCCCTTTTTCTAGTTGTAACCCATACCAGAGTTTTGTTACTGCTGCTGTTGAGGGTGATCATCCAAGGCCAAGCATGGGTTCTGGAAAACAGAATCATACACCCACCTCTGCATTCCTTCCATGGCAAAGAAAAGAAACAATATTCATTGCCTTCAGATGTAAGTGAGATGGAAAGGATCATTACTCAGACAGTTACAATCAACTTCGATCCTCAGAATCTTCTTGACACCAGGAGCTTTTGATGAACTACTGGATCATCCAACTGGACTGTGGATGAGAATATCAACAAGTTTCTTGAGTTGCACCAGCTCATAGACCAATGGACCCTCTTTCATGACTCTTGATATCAGGACCATTCAACAGCTTCTGGAGAATTGGATGATCCAACTGATTCTTGGGCAACAATTCTATTAGCAAAGTCATCGTGGTTGAATCGGCAGAGAAGCCTTTCGAAACCATCTCATGAATGAGGTCTATTGCTTCAAGTGGATCCTTATGACGAAGAAATCCATGAATGATCACGTTATAAGAGCAACTATCTGGTAGACAACTATTTGCCTCCATTTTCCTGAACAAATCATATGCTTCATCCACAAAGCCATGATGGCAAAGTCCATTGATTGCGATGGTATATGCGTAGGTATCAGGTTGCAAACAGTTGTCTCTAGAGAGCCTAGAAAACATTTCCCTTGCTTCCTTTTCCCTCCCTGCTTTCCACAACCAATCCATAAGGATACTGTACCCCACAACACCAGGTTTCAACCTACTACTTTCTAATAATTGAAACAAAGCTAATGCGTCGTCAATTTTACCTCGTCGACACAAGTCATCAAGCAAACTATTGTATGTCATGATATCCGGGGAACAACCCTCACCAGTCATTTTCTTGAGAATTTGTAGTGCATCTTTAAGCCTCCCAACTTGACAAAATCCATTTATCATAGTATTATACGTGACCGTATCTGGAACCAAATCCTTCTCAATCATACTATTCAGTAACTGTTCTGCTTCACCCATCCTTTCATTGTTACAATATCCATGAATCATGATATTATAACTATAAACGTCAGGTTTGCACCCCCTGTTGGCAATGAAATCAAATACCTTTCTAGCTTTATCTAATTCATTGCGCAAACAATACCCACTCATCAATGAACTGTAAGTGATGATATCTGGAAGCAGTCCTCTTTGAATCATCATTTTGAGTATAACTTTAGCTCCCAAAACATTTCCGTCCTTACAGAAAGCATCAACCAATATGTTATAGGTGAATTTATCAGGCATTATCTTCCTGTCTACCATTTTATTGAACAACTCCATAGCTTCATTGATTCTACTTGAAATGCACAAACCATAAATCAAGCTACTGTAAGCAAACACATTTGGTTGAATCTTTTCCTCCTCCATCTCGGAAAACACATCCAATGCTCTAGATACCATTCCATCATTGCATAGGCTTCTAATGACCGTGCTATAACTAACCACATTAGTTTGACAACCGAACTCCTTCATGTTTTCAAGCAATTCAAGTCCAGCATTCGTTTGCCCTATCTTACAAAGTCCATCTATGATTATGCTATAAGTGAAAACATCCGGTTGATAACCCAAAATCCTAATTTTATGAACCAACCTTGCAGCCTCGATTACTTTCCCAACTTTACAGAGCCCGTCGATCAATGTATTGAGCATCACATCGTCGTATTGAATACCGAGTTTCTGAGCTTTGCTCAAAACTGAGTAGCCAAAAGCCACACGACCCAATTTACAGAAGCAACGAAGCAATATGCTAAGTGTGTAACGATCATGTGGTACTCCAGCTAATTCCATACGTTTAGAAGCATAGAAGGCAGCCTGGAAGGCCTCCATTCTAACAAGAGATGACACCAACTTATCAAATTTGACACCGGAAGGCCTGGGATTCATTTGGAGCATCCTATTAATTGAATCCAAGGCATCATCTACGCTAGCGAAAGTTACAGAACTGGAGGTCGTAGGAGTAGTTGAATTGGAGGCGAAGTAAGACGAGAGAGGAGCTGCGGAAGAAGCAGAGGAAGAAGAATAAGAATAGGGGGATTCAGTCATACCGGCTCCGGCTTGTCTGCGCCAATGAAACCGATAGCAGTTGTTGAGGATCGCCGTCCTTGACATTGCGAGCTATTGAACTCTGCTGAACTGAAAGGCAGCGACAACAAGAGGCTCTGGTAAGCAGCCAAACCCCGATGATCCAACCTAGCGTGAAAGATGCGAACTTGGAACAGAACCCAGAACACAACCTAGAGAATAGGATGCACACCAGTAGTTTGCAGGGCTTCCAATTTCCATCGGGTAATTAGCCTATAAAACAGTTACACACATTTAATTTGTAACAATATGGTAACAAACGTTTGTATTTAGAACAAAACGGTCACAACATTAAATAGAGTGACCATTTCACAAGTTCAAACTTTTGTTACCCTACCTTTACAAATAAAACTTTTGGTTACCGTTTTGTACAACATTCAAAGGTTTGAACGATCACTCACTATTAAAGTTAACTCCTGTCGAGGATGATGCTTTGTTAACTTATGTGAATGATACGATCGCAACAAAGGATGACAGTACTCGTAAAAAAAAAACAAAGTATGACAGTGAGGAAATTCAATGCTTCATGAACGGGTTACATCTTGCTTTTTAGTTGAAAAAATTTGAACTACTTTCTAATTAATTTTTGGATCGAAATTGAAAGGTAAATAAAGGGCATTCTTATTCGACAAAACAAGTATATCGATGAACACATGACCCGACATCTCATATGTCATTCAACTGATTAGTGTCATATACTTGAAGAACACACGATCTGACCTCAAAATGGTCACAAACTTTTAATTTGTAAGTTGTAACGACGCGGTAACAAACTTTTGCACTTAATACAAAACGGGTAAAAATCAAACAGAAGTGACCATTTCATACAATTTCAAATTTTTGTTACCATATCGTTATAAATTAAAGACTTGTGACCGTTTTGTAATAAGTGTAAAGGTTTGTGACCGTTTATACTAATTACCCAATTTCCATCTGTTACATACTGACATTAGCTAGGGTATTCCTCAACCCGATTCCTACTTCTCGGGTTGGGCCAATGCGGTCAAAAACCTTTTCTTTTAGACCGTTACATTTTGTGACTGGATATTGATTAAAAGATTTATATTTGGGATTTTCAGGTCAATCAAAAGCTTATGAGATGAAAAGTGGTATGGTCCGACTAAGGTTGTTATGTCGAGTTTATTTGTTTTAGATGGGCTATTGTTTTAGATGGGCTATAAGTACTTAAATATATTGGGATGAAAATATATTAAGTTGATCAATGTTTGTGAAACTGTACTATATCGATAGTTCGATTGAAAAATATGCTATTAAAATCCAAATCGGTATAGGATTTTAGCCTCCTCCTTCTTTCTCACTAAGGAAGTGAACTAGAATTCACAGCTATTGAAGACGTGCTTGGCCTCTAGGATAAGAAAAGCAAGCATGCCAAGGAGTTCAGATTGACCAAATCGGCTGACAGACATCGAAGAAGAAAGATTTCAGATGAGTTGCTTTGCTAGGTTTGTCTAAAAAAGGAATTTGTTTTCTAGCTTATCAAATGGTTAAATTTAACCGTAAAATACTCTATCATGACTTATCCGATACAATTTTTTTTGGTACGAGTTTACAATCTTTGACCTTGATTTGATTGGTGCGAAGATCTGAAGCCACTTAAAAAGATTATCTCGTATTGATCAAGTAGCAAACATTGTGAACAACCAATTCCACATTTATATCCTATATCGAAAGTTCGACACATATACTAAACTAATTCCAAGAACAAAAATGAAGTATCAATCGGCTCTAACACCAAGTTAACCGCAACTAACCGCTAACTCCAATCCATACTCACCACAATTGATTAATCTCCTTCTATTTCCTAGGGTTGGTTTTGATTATTGTGGCTTTTCTCAACTTGAGTCCTTCTAGTTTTCTGATTGCAAATATATACTAAAACTTTACAAGGAAGAAGATTAACTAACAGCTGATAAACAGTAAAAGGCAACTAACAAATAAATGCACCTCTAACCGATGAACACCTGTCCACAATTAGTTATATCTACAGTGATTAATCAAAACGACATAGCAGTTGTCTTCTTGTTCTCAACTGAAGGAAAAACGGGCCCGTTCTGAACCAAACACTAGTCTACGGATTAGCAGAGACGGCATCGTTTTCTTGTGAGTTATGTTTCAATAGTCAAGAGCTCCACTTCTTCTCCTTTGCATTGCAGCTGCAGTCAAACAAGGATCTTCAAGTCAGTAATTCAAGCTCTTGCATGAGTCATTTCCCCTATTACACTCCTCGGCATTATGCTTAGTTCATCATTAGACGAAAAAAGATTCGCTACCGAGGAATCATCCCAAAGGTTTGCCAATCACTGTACCTACATCATGCTCAGCATCAGCCAAGAAGATTTGATTCTCAGCATCGGCATTATCTCTAAACACATGAATAATGCATCAGACATGGATCATCATCTATTCTCATGCTAATTACAGACAGAAACTTACAGGGAACTTATTTACACAGCAAACAGAGAGAGCCAACAATATGCAGAACACTTGAATCAAGTTCTTTCTGATAATGTCAGGAAGCATGGAAACACATATATGTAAGTGGGATGGCAAGGACCATGACACACCAGGAGATTTTGATCAACTACTGGACCATCCAACTGGTGTTTGGATGAGAATTTCAGCAAGTTCCTTGAGTTGCAGCAGCTGATAGACCGCCGGACCCAATTCTATGACTCTTGATATCAGGACCACTCATCAGCTTCTGGAAAATTGGATGATCCAACTGATTCTTGGGCATCAATTCTATTAGCAAAGACATAGTGATTGCATCGGCAGAGAAGCCTTTCGAAACCATCTCGTGAATGAGGTCCATTGCTTCAAGCGGATCCTTATGGTGAAGAAATCCATGAATGATCACGTTATAAGAGCAACTATTTGGTAGACAACTATTCACCTCCATTTTCCTGAACAAATCATATGCTTCATCCACAAAACCTTGTCTGCAAAGTCCATTAATTGCTATACTATATGTGTGAGCATCAGGTTGCAAACAGTTGTCTCTAGAGAGCCTAGAAAACATTTCCCTTGCCTCCTCTCCCCTCCCTGCTTTCCACAGTCCATCCAAAAGTATACTGTATCCAACAACATCAGACTTCAACCTACTTTCTATTACTTGAAACAAAGCTAATGCTTCGTCAATTTTACCTCGTCGACACAAGTAATCAAGCAAACTATTGTATGTCATGATATCCGGGGAACAACTCTCACCACTCATTTTCTTGAGAATTTGTAGTGCATCTTTAAGCCTCCCAACTTGACACAATCCATTTATCATAGTATTATACGTGACCGTATCCGGAACCAAATCCTTCTCAAGCATACTATTCAATAACTGTTCTGCTTCACCCATCCTTTTATTGTTACAATATCCATGAATCATAATATTATAAGTGTAAGCGGTAGGTTTGCATCCCCTATTGATAATGAAATCAAATAACTTTCTAGCTTTGTCTAATTCATTACGCAAACAATACCCACTCATCAATGAACTGTAAGTGACGATATCCGGAAGCAATCCTCTTTGAATCATCATTTTGAGTATAACTTTAGCTCCCAAAACATTTCCTTCCTTACAAAAAGCATCAACCAATATGTTATATGTGACTGTACTAGGCATGATATTCCTGCCTACCATTTTATCAAACAACTTCATAGCTTCATTGATTGTGCTTGACATGCATAAACCAGCAATCAAGCTATTGTAAGCAAACACATTTGGTTGAATCTTGTTATCCTCCATCTCTGAAAACACATCTAAAGCTTTCGATACCATTCCATCGTTACAAAGGCTACTAATGACTGTGTTATAACTAACCACATCAGGTTGACAACCTAACTCCTTCATGTTTTTGAGCAATTCAAGTCCAGCACTCGTTTGCCCTGCCTTACACAATCCATCTATAATTATGCTGTAAGTGATAACATTCGGTTGATACCCCAAAATCCTGATCTTATGAACCAGCCTTGCAGCCTCGATTACTTTTCCAACTTTACAGAGCCCGTCGATCAATGTATTGAGCATCACATCGTCGAATTGAATACCGAGTTTCTGTGCTTTGCTCAAAACTGAGTAGCCAAAATCCACTCGACCCAATTTACAGAAGCAACGAAGCATCATGCCAAGCGTGTAAAGATCGTGTGGGACTCCAGCTAATTCCATTTGTTTAGAAGCATAGAAGGCAGCCTGGAAGGCGTTGATTCTCATAAGAGAATTTACCAACTGACCAAATTTCACAACCGAAGGTCTGGGGTTCATGTGGAGCATCCTATTAAATGATTCCAAGGCATCATCTACGCTATCGAAAGTTACAGAATTGGAGGTCGTAGGAGTAGTTGAATTGCAGGTCATAGCAGCAGAAGAATAAAGGAACTGAGTCGTACCGGCTTTTCTTCGCCAATGAAATAGAGAGCAGTTTCCATGGATGATCCTAGCCATGCCGAGCTGTTGAACTGCTTTGAATTGAAAGCATTCACAATGAGAGACCCTGACAGCCATCATCAAATCGATACTGCCAAAATCAATTTCCACTGCGAACCCAGAATGAAAGATGCGAGCTTGACATCAAATCCGGAACCCAACCAGAAAACAGACTGAAACGCCGCCGCCGACCGTCGTGGATGCAAGAAGGTTGAGACTTTGCGAAGCACTCACCAACGGTTCTCGGTTGCTGGATTGGCAACAGTGGTCGGAACGTATATCCAAGCTTGAACTTCGCTTTGGGCCCAGACTATTTGTGTCACCGTATGACTGCGGCCTTTTTGACATTGGGCTCTTATCTATTGGGCTTGCTATCTTCTTCCGGGCCTGGCTTCTTATGCTTGAGTCATATTTAAGAATTAAAGTTCTAATTAGCGAGTCGCTAATTTGATGTCTGTATTAAAGTTCTAAAATAAATATAATTGAAGCCAATCACTATTAATTTATATCAACTGAATACAACCACGTTTACCAATTTTTTTGTGCTTGTTCATTGTTGACATTTAATGGGGAATTTAGCTATTAGTAACAAATATTTTAAAATTGTCACCGAATACATTTAATTTGTTAAGAATTTTCGATAGCATTATTAACGGTTTGCCATCAATTAAAAAATTTAAGCAAAACCTTTGTTAACATTTTTTTTTTATTTTTGAATGGAAAACATTCGTGTTTTTAACGAAATTGATGGCTGTCAACAAATTTCAATTTCGTTATCAATGATTTGTTATTGCATTTATTAAAGTCTTGTTGAACCTCTACCAACTTATGAGCATTTTTTTTTTAACAAAAGATAATCATATATTGCTGTACAAAAATTTAGCGAAGTATCGGTAACAATATACTAAACCATTGTTAATAATTCATAAATAATAAATCATAGAATATTTCTAACAACAACATAACCTTAGAACTCCATTCGCGGCTTTCGAGCTATATTGCAATAATGTTACTAAGCAGGTGAGCTAAGCTCATTCATACACCTAAACTGTAAATCAGAAATCGCTTTGAAACACGGTAAAGGATCAAACATGGATCATCATCTATTCTCATACAGAAACGGAAAAGGAAGCTCATTTATACAGCAAGAAGAGCAGCAGCCAGCGCTAGAGTAATTGCAGAGCTCAATGATACATAATACCAACCCTTGAAGAAACTGTCACCATACTGCACGTAGAAAACAAAGAAGAAAAGGAACAGAAGCTTTCCATTAATGGGGAGAATGTAATCTGTTAATGGATGAAACTTGTGTTTTGTTCTCGTGGACAAGACTTCCCTTTTTCTAGTTGTAACCCATACCAGAGTTTTGTTACTGCTGCTGTTGAGGGTGATCATCCAAGGCCAAGCATGGGTTCTGGAAAACAGAATCATACACCCACCTCTGCATTCCTTCCATGGCAAAGAAAAGAAACAATATTCATTGCCTTCAGATGTAAGTGAGATGGAAAGGATCATTACTCAGACAGTTACAATCAACTTCGATCCTCAGAATCTTCTTGACACCAGGAGCTTTTGATGAACTACTGGATCATCCAACTGGACTGTGGATGAGAATATCAACAAGTTTCTTGAGTTGCACCAGCTCATAGACCAATGGACCCTCTTTCATGACTCTTGATATCAGGACCATTCAACAGCTTCTGGAGAATTGGATGATCCAACTGATTCTTGGGCAACAATTCTATTAGCAAAGTCATCGTGGTTGAATCGGCAGAGAAGCCTTTCGAAACCATCTCATGAATGAGGTCTATTGCTTCAAGTGGATCCTTATGACGAAGAAATCCATGAATGATCACGTTATAAGAGCAACTATCTGGTAGACAACTATTTGCCTCCATTTTCCTGAACAAATCATATGCTTCATCCACAAAGCCATGATGGCAAAGTCCATTGATTGCGATGGTATATGCGCGGGTATCAGGTTGCAAACAGTTGTCTCTAGAGAGCCTAGAAAACATTTCCCTTGCTTCCTTTTCCCTCCCTGCTTTCCACAGTCCACCCAAAAGAATATTGTATCCCACAACACCAGGTTTCAACCTACTACTTTCTAATACTTGAAACAAAGCTAATGCGTCGTCAATTTTACCTCGTCGACACAAGTCATCAAGCAAACTATTGTATGTCATGATATCCGGGGAACAACCCTCACCACTCATTTTCTTGAGAATTTGTAGTGCATCTTTAAGCCTCCCAACTTGACAAAATCCATTTATCATAGTATTATACGTGACCGTATCCGGAACCAAATCCTTCTCAATCATACTATTCAGTAAATGTTCTGCTTCACCCATCCTTTCATTGTTACAATATCCATGAATCATGATACTGTAACTGTAAACGTCAGGTTTGCACCCCCTATTGTCAATGAAATCAAATAGCTTTCTGGCTTTGTCTAATTCATTGCGCAAACAATACCCATCCACCAATGAATTGTAAGTGACGATATCCGGAAGCAATCCTCTTTGAATCATCATTTTGAGTATAACTTTAGCTCCCAAAACATTTCCTTCCTTACAAAAAGCATCAACCAATATGCTATAGGTGACTGTACTAGGCATGATATTCCTGCCTACCATTTTATCAAACAACTTCATAGCTTCATTGATTGTGCTTGACATGCATAAACCAGCAATCAAACTACTGTAAGCAAACACATTTGGTTGAATCTTTTTCTCCTCCATCTCTGAAAACACATCTAAAGCTTTCGATACCATTCCATCATTGCATAGGCTTCTAATGACCGTGCTATAACTAACGACATCAGGTTGACAACCGAACTCCTTCATGTTTTCAAGCAATTCAAGTCCAGCATTCGTTTGCCCTATCTTACAAAGACCATCTATAATAATGTTATAAGTGAAAACATCCGGTTGATAACCCAAAATCCTAATTTTATGAACCAACCTTGCAGCCTCGATTACTTTCCCAACTTTACAGAGCCCGTCAATCAATGTAGTGAGCATCACAATGTTGAATTGAATACCGAGTTTCAGAGCTTTGCTCAAAACTGAGTAGCCAAAATCCACACGACCCAATTTACAGAAGCAACGAAGCAATATGCCAAGTGTGTAACGATCATGTGGTACTCCAGCTAATTCCATACGTTTAGAAGCATAGAAGGCAGCCTGGAAGGCGCTCATTCTCATAAGAGATGAAACCAACTGACCAAATTTCACACCGGAAGGCCTCGGATTCATTTGGAGCATCCTATTAAATGAATCCAAGGCATCATCTACGCTGGCGAAAGTTACAGAATTGGAGGTCATAGGAGTTGTTGAATTGCAGGTCATACCAGTAGAAGAATAAGGGAATTCAGTCATACCGGTTTTTCCTCGCCAATGAAATAGAGAGCAGTTTCGATGAATGATCCTAGCCATGCCGAGCTGCTGAACTGCGTTGAATCGAAAGAATTGGCAATGAGACACCCTGACAATCATCAATAGATACCTTCCTCGAAATGAATGATCCTATTCCAATACCATAACAATCTCGATCATTCAAATAAATTTCAACCGCGAACCCAGTACGAAAGATGCGAACTTGACATCGAATTCGGATCCCAACCAGAAAACAGGACTGAAACACAAACGACTGTGTCGCCGGCGGCAGCACGGAGAGCAAGTAGGTTGAGACTTAGCGAAGTACACGGCCAACGGTTCAGTTATTTGTGACACCTGATGGCTTCGGCCTTTTAATATTGGGCTCTTATATATTGGGCTTGTTATCTTCTTACATGGCATCACAACCATCTAATCTGAAGAAGGAAAAAAAAAATAAAAAAGCGAAATCTCCATTAGCTATGGTCTTTGTTAGGGATGGCATTTCGACCTGACCCAATTTATCCGATTTATTTGGCCAATTTAGGGGCAGGTCTGACCCGCCTCGTAGGCTGGGCAGAGCGGGTATGGGTACCTCTCACTGACCCGACCTGTCCCGCCCCGCCACATTCTTGACCCGTTCCTGCCTAGATTACTTGTAATCTTAGTCAAATTACTTAGAATTTTCCTCTTATTACATCATATTTTAGAAATAATAAGGAAAAATACACTTATGTAGCCACAACTTTGATGATTTGGTCAAATATAGCCTCTTTTGGCGAAATATCAAAAATAGCCATTTCCGTCCAATTCTTTGACGGTGTGAGTTAACGTGCTGACTGGACTAACGGATAGTCTGATCTGACAATTTTTGTCTTGTACGTATTACCCACGTGGATTAAAAAAACAAAAAATTAAGGAATTTTATGAGGAAGCGATTAGTCCCTTCTCACTTTCCCATTCTCCATATTACGACGAAGAGGCGGAAGAGCTCTTCTCCGCTGGCAAATCCCACGAGCACAACCTCCGTCGCCTTTCGTCCAAAATCATCTCTGCTTCCGCCACCATTAATCGTCTATGCCTCCACCAACACCAGCTCCGACTTCACTGCCACACCATCTTCAGCGATCCCCACCCACTTCTCTCTCATCCCCGATTTTGAGGTTCGCCACAGGTCAGGGGGCCAGTGCCAGACGAACAAGAACGAAGAATCTAAAAGCAGCAGAACATGGAGCAGTCGCAGACGAGTTGGGGAGAAGTCAGGAAATCGCTTTTATTTTCCCCCAAATACTCGTATTCTTCTTCTCTCCCCCTCGCCGACGAATCTGGAGTTATTCTCTATACAATCTTCACTGAGATTTGGGTTTGGGGTTTTTCTCGGTTTACTAAAATAGAAAAGAAGGGTTCTGGGAGACTTGTTTTTGTGGGTTTAGGTTTTTTTGTGGGAGCCGCCATTGAAGGGGTGGAAATCCAAAGAGGGAGGAAGCTGGGCGTCGGAGCTGAAGCGGATTCGTCGGGCCTGAAGCTGGGCGGCAGGGCTGAAGCGGATTCATCGGAGCTCTTATTCTTCTCGCAGCCATCTCTCTCATCGTCGTAATCGTTGCCTAATCATTTATTGCATCTGTCGCCGTCACTTGGAAAGGCAGATACCAATTCTTTTTGGTTGATTAGCATTGTTGCGTCGGATCTATTGACCAGCGACTAGGGAGGAGAAGAACACCACGATGAAGGAAGAGTTAGGTATAAAAACCCTTTAAAAATTTTATTTTAATTAAAAATGACGTGTCAATCCACATGTCATCAAAGGGTGAGTTGTCGATGACGTGTCCGGTGAGTTGGCAGCCCAGTTAGCGTACCGTTAATATAATTAACGACGTCACTAATGGTGTTAAATTTTGTAACGGAAATGGCTATATTTGTCATGAAACTTTCAAAATTTTGGCTATTTTTGGTATTTTGTCAAAAGTGGCTATATTTGGCAAAATCGTCAAAATTTTGGCTACACAAATGTATTTTGCCAAATAATAAAGTTGTAAATAAGTAAAAACCTCAATTTGTCCAATAATTTAACTACATTTTATCATATATAATGGTTTCTTTCTTGGTCTTTTAATGAAACTTACGAATATTTCTAATGTGTTTCACATAAATTACATACCCATTGGGTCGACCCGCCCCGACCCGCGCCCCGTTATAAATTACCCGACCTAAACCTGGCCTGCCATGGAACAGGTATGGGTATTGACCTAAATCAGGGCAGAAGTTTTAAGCATTTTCTTAAACATATGGACAGGAAGGCAGGCCTGGAAGAAGATAGCAAAATAGCAAGCCCAATAGATATGAGCCCAATCTCAAAATGGACGCAAGCCATCCGGTGACACTGTTGCCAATCCAGCAACCGAACCGTTGGCTGAGTGCTTCACAAAGTCTCAGCGTTCTTGCCTCCGCGCCCGCCGGCGTCACAGTTGTTTGTGTTTCCGTCCTGTTTTCTGGTTGGATTCCGGATTCGATGTCAAGCTCGCATCTTTCGTTCTGGGTTCGCGGTGGAAATTAATTTTGGATGATTGAGCTTGCTATCTTATCGGAATAGGCGAAGAGCTGGCAGTATCTATTAATGGCTGTCAGGGTCTCTCATTGTGAATGCTTTCAATTCAAAGCAGTTCAGCAGCTCGGCATGGCTAGGATCAACCATCGAAACTGCTCTCTATTTCATTGGCGAAGAAGAAAATCCGGTATGACTCAGTTCCCTTATTCTTCTGCTGCTATGACCCGCAATTCAACTACTCCTATGACCTCCAATTCTGTAACTTTCGCTAGCGTAGATGATGCCTTGGATTCATTTAATCGGATGCTCCAAATGAATCCCAGGCCTTCCGGTGTCAAATTTGGTCAGTTGGTGTCATCTCTTGTTAGAATGAAGGCCTTCCAGGCTGCCTTCTATGCTTCTAAACGTATGGAATTAGCTGGAGTACCACACGATCTTTACACGCTTAGCATGATGCTTCGTTGCTTCTGTAAATTGGGTCGAGTGGATTTTGGCTACTCAGTTTTGAGCAAAGCTCTGAAACTTGGTATTCAATTCAACGATGTGATGCTCAATACATTGATTGACGGGCTCTGTAAAGTTGGGAAAGTAATCGAGGCTGCAAGGTTGGCTCATAAAATTAGGATTTTGGGTTATCAACCTAATGTCGTTAGTTACAGTACAATCATCGACGGCCTTTGCAAGAGTGGGTTGGTATCGAAAGCTTTAGACGTGTTTTCAGAGATGGGGGATAGAAAAATACAGCCAAATGTTATTACTTACAATAGCTTGATTTATGGTTTATGCACTTCAAGCTCAAGGAACAAAGCTATGATGTTGTTGCATGAAATGGCAGACAGGAAGATCATGCCTGATAAATTCACCTATTCCATATTAGTAGATTCCTTCTGTAAGGAAGGAAATGTTTTGGGAGCAAAAGTTATACTGAAAATGATGATTCAAAGAGGATTGATTCCACATGTCATCATATACAATTCATTGATGGATGGGTACAGTTTGCGCAGCCAAGTAGACAAAGCTAGAAAATTATTTGATTCCATGGCCAACTGGGGATGCAAACATGATGTTTACAGCTATAATATCATGATTCATGCATATTGTAACAATAAAAGGATGGATGAAGCCGAACAATTACTTAATGATATGCTTGAGAAGGATTTGGCTCCAGATACGGTCACATATACTACTATGGTAAATGGATTCTGTTAAGCAGGAAGGCTTAAAGATGCACAACAAATTCTCAAGAAAATGAGTGGGGAAGGTTGTTCCCCGAATATTGTGACATACAATAGTTTGCTTGATTACTTGTGTGGACGAGGTCAACTTGACGATGCAACTTGACGATGCATTAGCTCTATTTCAAGTAATAGAAAGTAGGTTGAAGTGCGATGTTGTGGGGTACAATATACTTATGGATGGGTTGTGGAAAGCTGGCAGGGAAAAGGAAGCAAGGGAAATGTTTTCTAGGCTCTCTAGAGAGAACTGTTTGCAACCTGATACCCGGACATATAACATTACAATTAATGGACTTTGCAGACAACGTTTTGTGGATGAAGCATATGAATTGTTTAGGAAAATGGAGGCAGAAGATAGTTGTGTACCAGATAATTGCTCTTATAATGTGATCATTCATGGATTTCTTCGCCATAAGGATCCACTTGAAGCAATGGACCTCATTCTTGAGATGGTTTCTAAAGGTTTCTCAGCTGATGCAACCACGATGTCTCTGCTATTAGAAATGTTGCCCAAGAATCAGTTGGATCATCCAATTTTGCAGAAGCTGTTGAATAGTCCTGATACCAAGAGTCATAAAATAGGGTCTAGTGGTCTATCAGCTGCTGCAACTCAAGGAACTTGCTAATATTCTCATCCAAAGGCCAGTTGCATGATCCTGTAGTTTATCAAAATCTCTTTGCGTGTCGCGATCCTTGCCATTCCACTTACATATGTGTTTCCATGCTTTCTGATATTATTAGAAAGAACTTGATTCAAGGGTTCTGCATATTTGCTGGTTCTCTCTGTTTGCTGTGTTAATGAGTTCCCTGTACGTTTCTGTCTGTACTTAGCATGAGAATAGATGATGATCCATGTCTGATGCATTAGTCATGTGTGTAGAAGCTATTTGTGATTGTTGTTCAGAGATATGAATTAACTTAGCTCGCTTGTTTAGTAACATAACTACATATTTGCCCCAAATCCCTTGAATGGAACTCTGGGGTTCTGCTATTGTCAAGAAGAATCAATGCCTTTGGTTATCCATTTTTCACTCAAGTCCTCTGAATATGATAGTGATCAGCCTTCCATCCCTCTCGAAAGGAAGCTTGTGTTAGTAAGAAGGTATGACTTCGATCACAGGTCAACTACTGATCTAGTCTTCGTAAGAAATTAGTCCAAATGAGCTCTTTGTAATGAATGAAAGAATTTATATAAGTTGAGAAGTACAGAATGTTTTACGCATAGTTATTCAATACAACACTTTCTTAAAGGTACCAGGCAGAGGCTGGCTCGTTGTCGTCCGGAGAGGATGACTCAATTCTGTTAGCAGTACTGGAGCTATGAATATGGAGTGATGATGCAGATGAGAGTAGGAGACTACTAGTTTGTAGCCGAGGGAGCTAATGGACAGTAGTTTGTTTATAGCTGTGCTAAGGTTTCGAGTTTCTGGAAATAATGCTGCAGAATTGGGATCCTGGCCGCCGCTCATGTCCTGTTCTTATGGATGTAAGAGAGTTTAGGTTTTAGTGTCTTCTTTGTTATTGTTGTTGTTTGCTTGCCTGTGTCTGGCATAGGTTTGCAAAGGAGAACTCGGTGGAAGGCAGGGGAAGTTTGTGTCTTCAGAGTGCATTTCAAGGTGGCCTAATGTTTATGTCCTGCTGAAAGTCACAATTGTAATAGAATGTGTTTAATTAGAATCAGCTTGTTGTTTGTTGTATTCTTTGGAATGCTGTTCCATTTTATGCTTTTGCTTGTGTGGAAATTTTGCACCAGGGAAGAAAACTTATTAATGCTTCCTGAGGATGCATGACTTTTGTTTGCCAGCCAGCTGCCATATGAATTTGGGCGGGAACAATAGTTCTGGTCAAATTTGTTTATCTGATCTAAGAAGCTGGATTTGGAACAGAAGAGCAGCAAAGGGTTCATCTCGATCCTTGGATGATCATATCAACAACAATCAATTGGTCCATAATATGGGTATCACCATGGTCTCCCAGATTTCCCAGAATTAGAAATAGCTTAAACTTGACACCCAGTGGCGGATTCAGAAAATTTTCACAGGGGTGTCCTCTTAAAAATTAAATTTAATTAAATAATAAATTAAATAATTCGTATATTAAAAATATCATACTTGTATAAATTTTTTATTAAAATTCATGATGTGTTTTCATATTTGGAAAAATAATATAAATAAACTCCGTGTCTGCACTGTTTAAAAAAAATCTACATATCCTACTAGACAATACTTCACGAACTTATCACATATTCGATTTCTAACCTTGTTCTTAATGTAGCTCGAAGTAGAAAAGACTCTTTCAACACTTGCCATGTAACCATAAAATCAATTCAAAATTAAGGGTAGCGTGTACGTAGTTTAATTATTAGGTATTGAAAATAGTTGGGGATAAAGAAATAGCGTTTTATTGTTGCATAATGTTTAAAATAGAATAACAAATGAGTAGCAACATAATTAGAATATGTTTGATAATAGTAGTGTCCTAGGTTGGAATAACACGGACTACCACTTATATTTTGTTAATCATAAGCAAACTATTATCGAGGGTAGGATAATCATTTTTTCAAATGTTAGGGTGTCCCGGATTACCAATTATATTTTGTATACCCATACGAAACTATTATCGGAGGTTGGATAATCGTTTCCCCAAATTTTAGGGGTGTCCCGGGACACCCCTAGAGGCCCATGTATCCGCCCCTGCTGACACCCAAATACCTCCTTCAACCGTTTTCAGCAAAGAGAAAGAGAAAGCAAGTAGTTCCCAACTACATCAGGCAGCTTGTTAGACAATCGTGGATCATATACCACAACACTAACACACCCCCTCAAATGAAAGCCAGTTACGAGGGCTTGAAGTTTACACAGGTCTAAAGACAAGAATACCATGTGCTCAAGAAATGGGGGGTCACCGGGAATCGAACACAAGACCTCTCGGTCACAGTTTGTGTACAAGATTATTACTAAGATCATTGTTGAGAGACTTGCGGGTTTTTTACCTCAGATCGTCTCGGAGGGTCAAAATGCTTTTATTCGAGACCGAAAAATCGTTGAGAACATCCTCATTGGGCATGAGTTAATGCATTTTTTGAAAATTAAGACACGAGGAAAGAAAGGATTCATGGCTCTGAAGGTTGACATGGAAAAGGCCTATGATAGAGTTGAATGGTCCTTTCTTCTCCCTGTCTTGGAAAAAATGGGTTTTAATTCTACTTGGCGGGGATGGATACAAGAATGCCTTCGATCTTCGTCTTTCTCAGTATTAATGAATGGTATCCCTTCGGGTTATTTCACCCCCTCCAGAGGCCTCCGTCAGGGGGATCCTCTTTCCCCACTCTTGTTTGTGCTTTGTACGGAGGGGTTTGCTGCGCTTCTACGTAAGGCTATTTCTGAGGATAAGCTTGCCGGAATCAAGGTTGCTCCCCGAGCTCCGCGGGTCTCGCACCTCTTCTTTGCTGACGATTCGTACTTATTCCTGTGTGGGTCTCTCCAATAGTGTGAGAACTTAATCGAGGTCTTGAATGAGTATGAGGAGCTCAGTGGCCAAAGGGTGAACTTGGAGAAGTCAGCAGTATGCTTTAGTAGAAACATTACTCTGCCAGACCAAGAATTCCAGGCTGCGGTGCTGGGGGTAGGGGCGGTTGGGGTTCAAGATAAGTACCTGGGGTTGCCTACTTTGATTGCTCGCTTTAAGATGGAGACATTCCGGTACTTAGAGGAGAAACTGTTTGATCGCCTCCAGGGATGGAAACGGAGAACGTTGTCTTGGTAATGGGCAGTCTGCTCCATGCTACAATCAAACTGGATTCCTCAATTGCAGCTTGATCCTCCGAGGTTTAACCCTCAGGTCCTGCCAGTTGAGGGGGGCCCGATGGTGGCAGAGGTGATCAGTCCGGACGGGGGCCGTTGGTGTGAACGGAAATTGAGCTAGTGGTTCGACCCGCCTACGTGCGCGGCTATTAAAACCATCGCCCTTCCGCGATGGCCAGTCGAGGATAAGCTGATCTGGCATAATACTCCGGACGGCATATTTACTGTGAAGTCGGCCTACCATTTGGCTGTTACCCTTGATAGAAGGAAGGGCCAGTGGAGATCGGAGGTTAGCTGGATGGACAAGGCTAGTTGGATCAGGTCTGGGAGGCTAGCCTGCCTCCTAAATTGAAGGGGTTTGTTTGGCAAATTCTGAATCGCATTCTCCCTACGATGGAAGCCCTTATTGCCAAGGATGTTCCGGTTTCACCTAGGTGTCCGGTGTGCTGGACCGAGTCTGAAACTATGGAACATATGAAGGCAAGCAGTTTGGAATCCTGGCTCTGATGCGTCAGTACAACCAGCAATATGAGGAATGGGTGGGGTTGCCTGTGGATCGAAATTTTAGCTCCTCTATCCTTCTCCCGCCTCAGCCGGGTCCGGTGAGTGAGGACAAGCTAGTCTGCATGTGGGATGGGGCTACAAGGAGGGGCTCCCACTCAGCTGGGGGAATGGTTATTATGTCCCCGGATAGAGGGATCCTTCTGGCGAGTGGTGTTCAGTTTCCATGCATTGATGATCTCATGGTAGTAGAGGTGTTGGTGCTTCGGGAGGCTATTCTGTGGTGCCTGAGTCGGAATATCATGGAGGTGTGTTTTGAAGGGGATGCTAAGGTCATTATTGACAAAGTCAACCAGGCGGATGCTAGTGATAATCGGATTGGTGCTATTCTTGCTGAAATATTCATCACTTGGCGGTGCGCTCAGGGTTTAGTGTTAGATTTGTAGGTCGGAATAACAATAGGGTAGCCCATTTGGTGGCTCATAAGGCCCTCTCTTTGTACCCGACTGCAAGTCGTTTCTTTGATTTTCAGGCATGACTGATCTCCAGGATGTAACTATCCTTTGTTTCGATCAATGAAGATTATCTTTTGTAAAAAAAAAAAAAAAGACCAGTTGGTTCCAATAACTCGAGTTATTGAGAGATGTTCAATCGTAAATCATATACCACGAACACTAAGAGCACCCACCTCCTACTCCCTTGCGCCTTCCCATTTAGCTTGTAGCCAACGACGTCCAATGTTTTAGCTTGTCTATAACTCTATATAGAATATCACCATCCCCAATGTATTTCAGATACCTATACACTCCATCCAAAAACGAATATAACAACGACGATCAAGACAACACTAGTGAAACAAACCCGGATGAAAAGAACAAAGCTAAGTCACGCCAGTCCTATCCTAGCTAGCTAGCTACTACTTCTTCTTGTTCACAAAACCCACCCTCGGCTTTTCCTCCCGGCCGCCGCTCCGCCTGTCCCCACGCTCCCCAACGCCTAGCACCACCGCCGATGCCACGGCCGCCGCGGCTCCTATATATACACACACACGCCGCGGGTAGTAGGAAATTAAAAGAAAAGAGAAATATGACGTCAATATCAGCTTTTCCGCTGACAAATATTATTAGTATTACCATCTTGTTAATTATGACCGCCACTACGACGACGTTTGTTTCAAGCTACAAGGACAGCAGCCCGGCATGCCTTCCTCCGGGGGACAAGGAAGTCTTCAACTACCAATGCAGCGTCGCGACGCTGCCCGGCGGCGTGCAGGAGGGCCTGATGGGATTCATCGACGGCGACAAGCTGGTCACGCCCGACAC